GTCAAATGAAAATTAAAGAGCCTTCTCTGGTTTGGGTGCTGTGAGGGAAGATTAGTGAAAACATCGTTGACTATTGGACGATGAACGGAACTCTGTTTGCATCGTTATATCTCTTTGAGATTAGCCTTGTGTAAATGAGGAACGCGGGAATGACTGTAGTGTCCAAGACAGTGTGCGTGCTTTAGCGCCTGGGGTAAGATATGTCGGGAGTAAGACATGACAAGGTTAAGGTATGGCCCTAAGCCCATACCTTAACCCTCACATATCTTAGCCCAACATATCTGGTAATCAAACCTTGTCCTTGTATCTTAATCCTGACATATCACCCCCGACATATGTGTGGTAATCAAACCTTGTCCTTGTATACTCGAAATGTTTCTTTTTCAACGGTGTGCTGCCTTGTGTACATGAATCGAAAATATTAATGTGTGGTCTTATAAATTAACCGAATTTAACAAAAATATTTTTATTTATTATAGTAACTCTCTCATTGATAATACAAGCTTACCAAAAGCAAAAGATTATGAATTATTTTTAATACATTTGATCCACGAAAGGTTTATGCCATTGAGTTTTTTGCATGGTGTGTCCTGAATAATAAATTGATATTGGTGTTGATCTCAAAAACCTTAGTTCATACGTATTTTAATAAAGTTAATGGATTATCAAGCCAAGATATTTGGAATGTTTATAAGTTGGAATTTGATGTCACTAGAAAGGTAAGGTATTTTTTATTTATATACAAAAAAAACAAAAAAAAAACATAGTTAAATTTATTGATTAGTGTTGCAATGTTGCCTTAAATTCATTTGGCACCATTACCTTATGTAATAATATTGTTATTTTTGTTTTAATTACTTTTTCAGGATGATCTGTCTTCAAAAAATAAAAACGATCGTGAAATTTATTATAATTTCGTAAGGAGTGGAGATGTAAAACTTGTTAGTAAAACTACAGTGAACCCTCTATAAGTGCACCCCCCTCAGGAACATAGTGCTATTTCTTGTGAGCGTGCATTTATGGAGGGTATACATAGTGCGTGCATTTAGGGAGGGTGCACTTAGGGAGGGTTCACTGTATGATAATAATTAATAATTTAGAGGCAAAAAAGCTCTGTGCTTCAAACTTTGATATAAAATTGAGAGAAAATTTTAAAGATAAAATCAATAAAACTTTGGTAATAAAAATTTTTAGTTCATTCTATAAATTTTCTAAAAGATTGATAATTTAAATTTTCAAATCTAATTTAGTCACAAAGAGAAGACACAGAATGGATGATAAATGTGAATGGAAAAAGATATGATATTGTAAAAATGACATGCAAGTCCTTTGAAAAAACCAATGTTTTTAGATTAAATTACAATGAACCAATATTATCATACATAATTGATTTCACAGAATCAAATCCAATTGAAGACATAGAAGAGAATGTCTTACATGAGTTAACAAAACTTCCCAAAGATTTATATCAAGAATTTGATGTTTCCTCTATCACCTATCTGTCATATTTATATCAAGATCGAGATAAGGTTGAAGAAAGTTTCCCAAAATTAATAAAGAAGATTCTTTGTTTAATGAACATTATTTTATTTGGCGAATATGCTGCTTAATGTAAGTATTGATTCTGTTGCTCTCTCTTACATATAATTATATATTGAACTTATAAAAAAAAACAGATTTAAATTATGGAATAGCAATGATTTCAATCCTAAACACCACAAAACATTTTCAGAAGGATCTTTCGAATTCTTGGTGCTGCATCTGATTTATCACATTTTAGTTGAAGGAATTGGTAATAGTGTTATCCGTGTGTATGTAATATTTATTACTTTATATATAAATGGAGTTTTTATGGAAATGAAAAGGCTGCTCTTGACTGAAAATTAACCTGTCTTTGTTTTTACATTAAATCAACATTTAATACAAATTTTAGAGGTGAACAATCTTCTGAAGCTTCAAGATTGCGCAAAAAGAAATTAATAGAGAAAGAAAAAAAGCTCAGGCAACAGCAACAGGAACAGGAAGAAATATTTTTCTCCTATGAAATGAAAAAAACTTGGGAAAAAGGCTGATTTTTGGGTTGAGAGTATACATGAAGTCGAAACTATTTTGACCATTTGCAGATCTGGTCGAAATAGGGTTGAAATAAGGTCGAAACTGATTTTTACTATGTAGTTGCCTCAAGTCAAAACATTTCGACTTTGGGGTTTTAATTTCGACTTCATGTATAGTTGAGAGTGAAATTGCTGAAAACATATATGAAATTATTTTTACCGAAACATCTGGTTCACCATTTCAAAAAACTCCAAAAGAAGACAAAATAAAATCAGATAAGAACAAACTTCTCAGATTTGCTCACGACTTGATGTACCAAATGATACATGAATTAATTCAAGAAAAATTGTGATTTTTACCAGATTCGAAAAAGAACCTCAAGGATCTGAAAGATTTTGAAATATTTATGTTGCTCAATACTATCATAGATTACACACTAATACATATATTTTGTTTATCTGGGACTTGCTCTGAGCCGTTTTTATCCAAGGACAATTTTTTCAGGGAAATGCTTTAGAGATGGTTTCTGATATGCGGAAAAAGAATTTTTCGGTTAGATTTTGGTTATATTTAGGTGCATATCAGGAACTTGATCTGAGCCGTTTTTATCCAAGGACAATTTTTTTCTGGAAATGCTTTAGAGCCTGTTTCTGATATGCGGAAAAAGATATCAGTTGGAATTTTCGGTTAGATTTTGGTTAGATTTTTATAATTGTTATGCTATTTGGCTTTCTAGCCAGGCTATGCTTCGTTCATAGATATTCATTACATTCATATCTATTCACTTCGCATAGCCCTTTTTAATGGGAATCTGAGTAGCATAAAATTTCGTTAGATTTTTTTGGTATCAGCTAGAATTTTTCGGTTAGATTTTTATAATTGTTATGCTATTTGGCTTTCTAGCCAGGCTATGCTTCGTTCATAGATATTAATTACATTCATATCTATTCACTTCGCATAGCCTTTTTAATGGAAAGCTGTGTAGTATAAAATTTCGTTAGATTTTTTTTGGTTAGCTTTTTAGATTGCATAGCTTTTTAAGCTTTGGAGGCAATAAAAACGGCTAAAAGTTAGTTAGATAATTAAGAAATCTATAGCCTCTGCAGGCGTTTTCTGATATGTAAATAAATTTGGTACCAAAAATCGAACCAAAATGACGACTAAAATGCAAAATTCACCACCTTCGAGTGTGGCCAAAAATCCGGAATAAAAAACTGTTAGCTCTTTGGCCTCCAGGCGAGACAGGCACACAGCTGCCGTCGTGGTGGATTTTGTCCCAAAATCCCCACTTTGGCATTGTGTGGTTGTGGTGGATTTGAATTTATTGGATAATTTTTGCCTAATTCTTTAAGTTCTTCCAATGTAAGGATTTTAAA